CTCTGGAAAGCAGGTAGGAGAGAAAGGAACCATAGAAGTAGTGAGGAAACTTTCATAAAGCCCATGTTCATTACTACCTGCTCTTGTCTGACGATGAAGGTGATGTCTTCCCCGGGCTTAACAGCCAGGCTTTCTTCTCTGATGCTGATCTGAAGTCCCTTGGGAGCAATCAGTGGACACATATGCTGTGCTAAGTTCTGCTGCAGGTCTACGCCACCTTCACACACATTAGAAACAACTTTCCTGTATCTGCAAGAACAGTAAGCAGTGAGCACAACGAATGGGAGGTGAGCAGGAGTATGTCATCAGCGGCACTGAATGCGAGTGTGACAGCAGCTAATGAATATTCCTTGCGTTCACAAACAGACAAGATTGCAGATGATCAAAACCAACTCATGATGCAAATACTTTGATGATGGACATTGCCTTTACTGAGTAAAACCTGTTGAAGAAAGAGGGTATGGAGCAAGATGAGGATTTCATTTTTATGTATTGGAAGAGTCTGCCTTTTCAAATTTAGAAACACACCTAACCTGCTCTCCAGGAGCTAGATACTCTGCCATCCTCTCTGCCATACCCTTTTCTAGCATACAACAGCCTCTAATGCTCTAGAGGTCTTGGTTCAAACCCCAGGTATCAGAAAGAAATCAGATCAAGCAGCTCCTGCATTAACCCAGAACCAATTGCTTACATACTGCTCTCAAATCTATGCATTGCTTAAACAATTAAAGCATTTATTTAACATAGCAGTGTAACAGAGTGAAAAGCCTAACACTTTTAAAGAACTAATAACGAAATACTTGGATGTGTACAGTAATTATTTACAGATCAGTTTCACTCAGGTATGTTATTTTTAAACATCCTTTAAAACTGGAGTTATATTTCACTCTTTTGAATTCCTATTCTGTGTATCAGAGCTGTCAGCCACAACCCAAAAGGCAGCATTTTCCTTGGTGAGGCAAATATACACAGAGACTGTGATTCTATTGCCAGATTTGACATTTCATCATTCGGTTCTCATCCCCACAACCGACAGAGATCATGTTATGATAAGCCAGAATAGATGCCAACTGCAAGTTATTCTCAGCACAGACGTCAGACTACATTGTAGTGTATATTCTATGCAGTACTGTTTACAGTTACTAAAGCTTTCCTTTGATTCTGAATGTCCCATATGGTCAGGAAAAGAATCTATTCTCCACAGAAATCCTTACCCCTATGGAAGTGAGAGGCTGTAAAGTTCTTACTGGCTCCTCAGAGTAATTCATTGGATTCAAACTGAAAATTGGTCTGAACTCAAGCTATGGACCAAAAAAAAAAAAAAAAAAAAAAAAAGTCCTTCAAAGGGACACTCTTATCAGAAATGTAGCAATGGATACGTAATGTAGTTACAAATAAAAAATAAAAATACTGGGAACAAGACGGCTCCCCTTCTTTTCAAATGGGTTAGTTTTTGAACTCCTGTGAACATGTAAAGTCACATTTCTTTTTCACTAGTCCATAGGAATTTTTTCACATGCTCTATGTCAGAACTTTTGCATTTCCCAATTTTTTACTGTTAGCTTTATTTACATTTCCTTAAAACCACTTTTGTGGCTGATGGCTGTAATGCTCTCTCCTGCTCTGCCAGCCTCTGCAAGCCAGTTGAACTCAAAATCTGCTTACCCACTGCTGCTGGTGTATGCCTGCCCCAGCACACAGTCTTCAGGAGGTGCTTCTGGGTTAAACCAAAAGTCAGCAAAGCATTTGCTAGACTCCGACTTCAGAGGTGCAGAGCGCTCAAACCCATAATCACTGAAAAACATGAACACCAAGGGTGTTACCATCCCACTCAATTCAGCAGTCTAATTTGGGGTGGATGAGGCTACTTTTTTAAGAGTAAAAAGATTTTTTTAATACTATTCTAGCAGCTGAACATACAAGTTGATGAAGCCAGTTCTGTTCTAAGTGTCATTTCAACAGGAGTTGTGTACACCTGAGGGAAAAGCTGGCTGTAATTACTTTGTCAGTTCTGCAAAATTAACTCTCTTGGTAGCTTAGATCTTTAAAAGGTTTCCTTTGCAACTCAGATCAACACATTACTTCCGGTGGTCTGGGTTGTTTTTTTTTTTCCTGCTTCATTTGCAAATAGAAAGGGTTTGCTTGCCTTATAAATAAATTCAATGGTTATTCTTCTAGTCTTGATCAATAGGGAAAAACATCAGGATTTGTTCAGTCAGGTGAAACAAACACTTAAAACACAGCAATGTTTTTAAACGACAACAAATAAAAAAGCAACCTGTTATTCAAATTACAGGTGGCCTATTTGTTTATACATGACTATGTGGGCAGAGGGGCAAAAGGAAGAAAATAAACCCAGCTCAAACTCCAAGTAACTATTTGCTAGCAATAAATCAAAAGTTCCACAGGCACACTCACCATAAGAAATCAGAGTTCACACATTCACAAACTTTGGATGTGAGAGCTGACGTGAAACTTCTCCCTTTAATGCACCACGATGAAATCTTCCTCTTGCGAAAGCTCCTCTGCTGGCCCATGATGCAGTGATCACCCTGAACATCGAAGCACCAGACTTATTCCACAGTGTAACCTACACCACACAGATGTGACCTTACGTGGTCATGAGAATGGCTAGTCTTGCTGCCAAGACTAAACACTTGTATCATCTCTTTCATATTCAAATGTACAGGTATAAGTTCTCATAGCCACTGCCACCCACTAACAGGCCATTAAAGAGTTGTAAAACACACTGTAGTTCAGGGCACAAATCCAAAGATGTACATACAGATTTCAACGTGCGACTTAACCCGTTTCATGTGTGCACAATCTAGACACAAGCCTAAAGCTGGTCATTTAAAAACTCAGTGTGGGCAGATGGCTGAAGTTCTATCTAAATCACTATGTCTCATGTCAGGAGCCAACGCGAAGCACAAACCATGTGGACATAGAATGAAGACTATCTAATCACACTCCACTGGAAACTGGGCAGCTGCAAGTACTCTGTCAAAGCCATTTTAGCAGATTCTAATTTCTGAAAGGCATTTCAATGCCAATATCCCAAGACACTGTTACTCTTTAGGCTCAGATCAGCATAACATATTTTGTAAATACACAGCATTCCCAAAGAAAAAGTGTAAGATTAGGCATGTGAACTAGCAAATGAGAGCTGGAGAGCTGGAATACCAGAGAGCAGTATGCAAAGAAAACCCAGTTCTGCAGAGAGCAAGAGAACAAATGCACTGGAAGAAGCACAAGCGTAATTATCAGAATGATTATGAATAAATACAACATATTACGTGTAATGTAAAAAAAACCAAAACCAAAACCTCACATTAGTCTCTTTAATCAATACATTGTATAGACAATGTAGCTTCCCAAAACTGGACTTGGCCAGAGCACGAGGATTAGCACAGATTTAATGCATTACTACAGAAATGGTATTGCCCAAAACAACAGGACTCCATCACATGATCGGTCCACTGAGATCCTAAATTACTTCTGGAATGGGCTTTACTTGCGGCAATTTATATATGAGTACAGTATGTGGTCAGGAAGTTGGCAGAACATACGACTGCATGTTGAAATTGCTTCAATCAGTATCACACACTTTATGGCATATGCTTCATATTCCAGCAGGACCACCTATTATTATGGCAGACCACCAGTTATACTTCCACCTTTCCTCACAACCGAAGGGAAAACAAAATCCTTCTCCATTTTTAACTATTGTAAAATCAAAGTTGGCAATGTAGCACCCAAATTATTTGAAAACATTGTCCTAGCACACAGTTCTACATGAATCTGAATGCTACAGAGAAGTTGTGGCAGTTAACAAGACCATGAATACCTGTAAATTTGTGAGCTCCCAAGATTCATAGTCATCATCAGTGCATTCCCTGGGGAACGATGGTCTGAAGTCCACCTTCACCAGTTCCCAGTCCGAACGATAGCTAATATGGCCAAAGACTCTGAATCAAAAGATCAAAAGTGAAATCTTACTGGAAAGAAATACCGTGAGTCGGAGATTCAAATTTCCAGTCCTATCTTTTCCCTTCCATGGTCATGGTTTCCTACTAAAAGATCCCTGGTTAATTTTTCTTTCACTTTTATTCCCCTTCATGTACCATGTGTCTAGTTAGAAAACAATTGCAAATTGTCCATGGAACTGTACAATGACAATGTATAGCTTACAGATTAGAGATTTTTTTCTCCACCAAACTATCCAGAAGTTTAAACAGTACTAGAAAAGTTTTTCCTAACATGGAACACAACATTTTTGTCTATTATCTTGTTATATGTCACAGTTTTTGACAGGGATCAGATCAGAGAGCTGAACCCAAGACCACCAGGTTCAATTTCCAGCTCTATCAATCACTCATAATGATTATGGTGCAACTTCTTCAGTTGTTTGTGTGGGGCTTTTTTCTTAACTTCTACAGATTTCAGATGGCAATTTGCTATTGTTCAAACTCACAGCAGTATCATTAAATTGTATTCATTTCTAAGGAATACACTAAATCTACACATTGTGCTGAAGAACTCTCAGTCTCCTCCTTATTTCAGATAGTCCAATGTATAACAAAAACCAGCCACAAAATGCAAATTTCTTTTAAAAAAAAAATTGAAATCTCATTGCTTTAAAATTAAAGCTGCACTTTCAAGCAGTCAACATTTTCAAAGTCAGAATATATATTTCCAAAACAAAATGGGTAAGTATGACATCCACCAACAAATTAGAAAGGATAAAGACTCTATTTGGGTAAAAGTCAAATGTATTTGTGGTTTGTATCAGGCTTATGTGGCTTACTTGCCAAAGAATTTAAGTTTGAGTCTGAAGCCAACAATTTCTGTGCCGTTCATACTGCATAGAGTTCATATTCCAAGCTTTTAGTAGCATTCTTCAAACTAATTCATTCCTTTTCTTTTGCCCTCAGTTTTGTC